GTTCCTTTGGGATGGATATGGCCGGATATTGGTTTTTCATCTTGCCGGTAAGTTATCGTTCCCCATACGTGTGGTGGCGTAGAGAAAGCATAGTGGTTTGCTTGTTGACGCGTTTCTTTGTGCAGATGGGTTACTTCGTATTGAACCTGGCCGTGCTGCTAGTTGTAACAGTATGGAATAAGCGAGACGATAACACAGTATCCGAGTCACGAAAGGGGGAGGCTTGCTGCTTGGGAATGATGGTACGAGCAAGATGAGCGCAGGAAGTAAAAGGGTTGGTAGACACCTGGGGGTATCGAAAGAGTAACGCGCCTTCTCTCAGCAAAGGGTCGTTTTCTCGTACGTTGTGACTTTGCCGTAGCTTTCACAATGAAATTGAGCAGTAAACATCTGATTGTTTCATTGTTTCGCGCAAAAGAATCCAAGCCTTTCCACCACACGCATTGCATTAATCACCCAAAGCTCTCACCCCACAAAGCTACCACCATATTCAGCACGCAACATGCACTTCAACTACGGCAGTAACCTAGGAAGCAGGTATGACGAAGAAGGCGATCTCGAGTCCGCTTCCTCCTCATCTCTTCAATATTACACGGAGAGCCAATTCCGCACACTGCCGCCCGAACAGCGCGAACTGATTCGAAAGTCACACCGGCGCTCGTTCATTCGGTCACCACCAGCAATCATGATGCTGTTAATATTCCTTACCGTAGCTCTCGTAGCACTTTATCAAATGAATCACGATATCACGGAGGTCATGTTAATGTGGGCCACCTTCGTGCCGGTAAGTCGTTTCTCTATGCCCGTCTCTTATCTAGCTATGCCAAACCCATATGAAGAAGTTTTTACTGATGTATGTGAGCAGATGGCAGCGATGTTGTTGCTGCTGGGGTGCTTGATTGCACACCATAAGCTTCCTAAGGATATGTCGTATTCCGGTCGTTCTGCTATTCATCATTTCACGGGAATGACATACGTTGCAGCCTGTATTTTGGCGTATGTGCTACACGAGAAAGATCCAGATGAGAAGGGGAACTTTGTACTAGCAATAGGGATGTCCTGGTTCATTTCTCTGCCGGTAAGTCTGTCCCTTCTGCGGCAGTGGAGGAAACATATTGGGCGCATTGGACGTTTTTACTAACGCACTTCTTCGTTCGCAGATTGGGTTCATCATCTTGAACATCGGAATCGTGTTGCTTGCCAACGCATGCAAGAAGGCGGAAAGCGAAGAGTCGTCCGAATGACTAGAAGATAAGGGGAGCTGTCTGTGACTGTTGGACGATTGTTGATAAGAAAGGCAAGAAGGAAAACAAAGACTTGACGGGCACGCGAGGTCAGGTGGGTTGCATCAGAGAATATTAAATGCATCACGGAATAAATATTTTGGTATTGTAGCACGCTACTGTAGACGGCTCTGAGGATGTATCGGTAACTTCAAGCATACGTTCGCTGCCTGTTACTGGGTTAGCAATGTGTGTATGACGGGAATAGAAATCACCGTACGCGTACAATTCCTTGCCATCGTCATAGGGGCGCGCAGGTGACCCAGCATCGACCTCCTTGTTCACTGCCGCCCGATGTGAGATCGCTCTCTTCCTCTCTCCATAGATCGAGGCCGAAACCCAAAGCAGCCACATGATTCCGGCAATGACTCCATATGCGATGATCTGGCCCTGACTGGGGGCAAATCCGGTGAACGCGGGCGCATCCGATGCAAGTAGAAGGCCAAGGCCACCATTGATCATACCCAGTGTGATCAAAATGCGACCCAGCCAGAGGTGACCGTACGACCAGATAGTTCGGCGACTGTATTTCTTGAACTCGAGGTGGTGGACGAAGCCAAGTATGGGTTGGAAGAAGAGCAGGACAAAGACAATGATACCGATGATCGGGTGGTAGTTGTCGAGCATGTTGACTGGGATGTTGTTTATCATCCACACGCCGAGACCGAATGCTGCGATGTACACGACATACGCAAAGAGTTGAAATATGCCATGGACGATCCAGACACCGCGAAACGATCCTAGCCGTATGAGAATCGAACCAACTGGGAAGAATAAGACAAAAGCCAGGGCTGCGAGGACACCATGGGCTACGATGATCTTATGTCGTGATTCTGATGAGAAGCCGCTATGGCCGCCGCCAAATGATGAGCCGAAATCGTTGTCGCCGTTGTCACTACCTCCTCCAAATCCGCCTGGACCGTACTGACCACCGGGGCCGTACTGCGCAGAAACTTTGGTTGCTGCTATCGTCTCATCAATTTAATCCTCGATTTTCAGGATTGGCTTCATACCTAGGCTAAGCAGCGTCGCTCGTGTACTAAAAGTCATAGTGAAGATGTGGAATGAGAAAGACCAACGCAAGCTCGATTTGAAGGTCTACAGATCGATAGAAAGAAATATTGGCTAGTTAATCTATTCTTACCTGCGACGGCTGATCTAACATCATCACCCACAACACAAGCCGAACAGCGCCAAATCGATGATTCACGTCTGGGAGTGACACAGATGACGCTGTTTAGAACAGAAAATGGTCGAGCTTACGCGTTTCCGCAGCTTTTTCGTGTGTTTCGAGTGGTGGACATTGACATGCTAGTCTGACTTGGGGCCGGGGTGCACATGGTGGAGAGCCGGAAGTAAGATGTCGGCGAAACATGTTGGGAAAGCACCGACTCTCATGATGTGACGAGTGCCTCAGGCAGAAGATGTCGTTGACGTCGATACAGGATGAGTAAGGTCGTCTCATGGAGGCCTGGATGGTTCAGCCATCCTGAGCACGTGTTTGCGCGACGTGCCTGTAGCCTTGCGCAGGCACGCGTCTGACTCGCTTGACTTGGCTAGCATTAGCATGATCCTTCGTTCGCGGGTGTAGGCAGCGACTGGGCGACAAATCGTTGAAGCTGCTATTCCAGGTTTGCTGCGAACATGGCCGCTGGTCGGGTGCCGAACTGATAGCGAGAGGTGCGATCGCGATTACTGGTCACCCGTGTGGCTAGTGTGGCAGATGACGTGAGTAATGACCTTGGGAGCCTGTGCGAATGTCTTTCTCATCAAAAACTTCATCCCATGTTAACACATAGTATAACTTCCGGGTTCACGTTCACCGTCTAGTCGACATGGCGGTCGGCAACGTGATGTGGCATCCCCACGCAGCGCATCCCGTCGCCCTCGACCCCATGGCGGTCAGAGCGCGGTCGAGGTTTTCCATCCGCCCTCCGCGATCCTGGGCTGTCGCATGGCCAGGCACATGTCGGTCGTTCAACAGGTACAAGTCCTGCATGCGCTTGTCTGTAGTCATTTGTCCCCTGAGTTCGCGGTGACTGTTGCATAGCCCCAGTCTGCAAGAGTCCCGTGGTAGGAAGAGAAGGCAGAATAGCGCACCGCCACGGTTGTGCACATCACGCGGCGCCCTTTGTCCGTATAGATGTCGTCAGAGTTGTGAGTCGAAGAAGCAAAAGAAGGTGAAACAAGGAAATTGCGATGAGTTGGAGCAAAGAGAGGTGAAGACTCTGTGGAGACATGAGTTGTGCATGCCCGCCGCGAGGATGACTCCTGCAGGTCCCGAATTTCGGCGATGCCATGTGACCAATCAAGGGCGGGCACGGGTGCAATAGTGGGCCCGCATTCGCTGTCATCTAGGCTATGATCTAGCATCTTCCTTCTCCCCGTCACACCATCGTGCGGCTCTGAGTCACTCTGCAGCCTACTGACATCCTTGACTTAGCTTGTACCTGCATACGTGATTCAATGTCATCCCATCTATATAAGGCTGGGTAGGTATCTTGCTCCAATGCTTGACTCTCCTGAGACTATCAGCCGCCTTTGCGGCTTTTCGCCCAACCACTCCCCATCTCCCCTCAACCCTATTACTATTTATTTACACATCCACAAGAACTTGGAATAGACGACATGGGCAAACGTCACAACAGAAAACGAACTAGAAGCCGTCCTCGGAACCGCAACAACAACCACGACAATTCACCTCCGCAGGTCATCAACCACACTCGAAGCGAGTCGGTCAGCACTACCTCTTCGACTCTCTCTGCAACTAGCTCCTGCTTCCATCCTCAAAGCTCCATTGCGGGTGCCAATGCGAACCACTGGCAGCAAACTTACACCGCATGGCAAACCCGGCTTCGACTACAACAGGAGCAGGAGCAAGAGTTGGAGACTCAACGACTGCGCATCTTTGGTGGACTACCGGAGGATGAGAGGACCTTGATGGAGCCGATGCTCAAGGTGGTCACGGATCTTTTCGATGGTTTCTACGATTACGAAGATCCGTGATGATTAGAGTGCTGGTTCTTTGCACATCTCTACTCCTTCGCATGGGCATCCAATTCAACGGACGATACATGTTTTTACGACGAATACGACACGAATTAACGACCAAACCAACGATGACTCTGGTAGCCAGCCGGAGGCGTGGGATATCATCTGGGCACGGACTCGTAGCAGATCAGACAGCACCTGCGTCGGCCCAACTGGGCCGGCCCGCAAGCGCTGTCTGGTTGGTTCAACATTGCTCAGCCCTAGGACTCCGGCTTCACGCATAGGCGGCGGAAGCGAAGACAATGGTGGAAGAGACAGCTGGATGCACGCCTCATGCTTGTACACGCTCGAGTCCCGAACTCGCGTGTACATGCTGTTGGCTAGAGCGTCGCTGTCTCTGAGAACGGCGGAAAGGAAAGAAGGACGCGCATGCGTATTGGTGGAGGAGTCATCTTGCTTGGAAGGAACGGTGTACATCTGCAGCTCTCTGCAGAGCAGACAAATGTCCGAGTAGTTTATCAATATTTCTTTAATTAATCTAAGCTTTACCCTAAATATGTGGCTTCTCTTGTGGCATGAGTTCTTTCCCCAGCTGCAGCGTGCTTGCCTTACGCCGCCTCTTCACCGTCAGGGTTTTGTCATCTTACTAGTCCGCATACAGCGCCTCAACTTTTCGTAGGCAAGAGCTACCTTTCTTTCTCACACTCACCTCCGCCAACCATTCAAATGCGCGTTATCATCCGCAACTCTGGTCGAGTACGTTACCCAATACTGCGCGACTTCTGATCGAACTACCCCCAAGACATCAGTAGGTAGTAGTCCAGCGCGTACTGTACAGTTCCTTTCACTAACCAGCCAGCGCCGTCTAGTTCACGATGGCAGATGACCATGGGTTCCGCTTCCTGGATCTACCCAAGGACATCCGCCTGGAAATATACGACCTTTTCCCTGCCGAAACCCGTCGCTACACGGTGCAAGCACGTACGCCAGGCATCACACCCTTCACCCTGGTCTTCGAACGCATCCCGTGCATGGCCCTACTCACCACCTGTCGCCAAATATTCCACGAAGTCTCTGCCATCATGGGGTCAAGATTAGAGGGCCAGCCACTTCGTATCTTCGCCGCTGTGAGAGACTTGAGTAACACCGTCGTCAAGGTATTATCGTATTATACTGCACCCCAATCTCAACAAAAGTTCCTGGAAATACGTGTCAAGCGCTATAGTCCTAGTCGCGAAACCGGCCCCGACGATCAGGATGTGCCCGAATATCCGCCTCAGGCTCTATATCACAATATAAGGGCAACTGGCTCGAAGCTAGAAGTCGAGATAGCTCTTGAGCTTGGCGATGTATTCACATCATCTCCATGGTACTTCCAGCTCACCAGAGATTATATTCGCATATTCCATGAGAGGATTATGGGTATGGGAAAGTCGCAGTGGTACCACCGCCACGACCCCGTCAATATCACAATCCGGCCCAAGCCGACAGCAGATATGAGCGAGAAAACAATCAGCGATTGTAAAGTATTCGAATTCGAGGAATACCAAAGAGACTTTGGGCTTGGGAAGATGTGGACTTGTCAGTTCGGTGAGTGCATGACGGAGAGGGAGTGGCAACGCAACTGGGAGGAAGGCAAGCACTTCAGAAAATTGAAGCGTATCTAGCAGCTCCAAAACTTTGCAGGAGATCATGGCACAGGAGAAGGGGTGATTGGTGCGGGGTTACAAATGGTTGAGGCATCGCTGCTGGATTCCAGTGTAATGAGCCGCCCACCAAGGAGTTTCCAGTAGGGAAACCTCTTTCAGGTCCTTTGAGAGCGAGAGCGTCACACAAATAAAGATGAGAGATTCACAAAGCCTTTCATACATACTCTTCCACTTTTTGGGCGTGTAGTTGGAAGGAGGCCGTGAGGAATGCTTCCGCTAAAGCATTAGCAATTGTCTCGCAAGACATCTAGATACCACCTTCAGCAACCAATTATCTTGAACTCATTCAGAGTGAAGGCTCGAGATTCCAGCACGTTAACGCTCCAATATCCAAAGTGACCCATCGTTATTGCCTCCACGGCCCTAGCCCCCCACCCTCTTTCTCCCTCCACCATCAAACCAACGTACACACAGTCACGACCCCATCACTATAAACAGCAACCCCAAAATCGTAAAGCGCAGCTAATCAAAGCAGGTTTACGTACCCACCATGCGCGCAAACCCGGCTGAGCGGTCGCCCTACTATCGTACGACCCTCGCCAACGGGTCACCCCACACGCATCCCGGCAACGCCCGAACACGGTGTTCTCGCTGTGCATGTCTCGCCACCAGAACTCTTTTGTCGTGAAGAGCTGGAGCGTATCACACGATGTGATCGTATATTCGGTGATTTCGACGAATGGTTTGGCAGATTGTGTGTTGTGTCTCGCGATCTCAGGAACTGGGTTGGGGTTTTCGTATGTTGGTGTGAGGCGCATGTCGAGATACTGGTATCATGGCATCACGCGATCGACCTGTGCGAATTGAGGAATGGTATCGTCGGTAGACACCGACACCGTGAGTATTGCTTCAAAGAGTCGTGATAGATATAAGGTACATGGGTTTCTTCCGTTATCGTTCATCATCTACATCCAGTCACATCCATCTTCAGCTATACAACCATTTTTCAAATCGCACATATAGTAAAAACATCCTGCAAACAAACCTTCAAAGTCTTTACTACTACCAATCACCAACCATCCTACCAAGATAACCAAGCAACTACACAACAAAAAACAAACAACATACCTACCCAACCAACCCTCCCAAAATGCCAGCAGTACCAAGATCCTACCTCCCCTCCTTCGCCGCCTTCCTAGGTAAGTCTCACCAATCCCTCATCTCCCGCTCTTCATCACATCCTCCATAAACTAACAAACCACCCAGCATTCGGCATAACCTACACAACCATCGTCGCAGCAAAAGAAGGCGCAGCCGTCGACGGCGCACGAACCCGCTGGCAAGACCAACATGCACGAGCGAGGAACGCATTGAGCGGGGGTATGACTCTAGCGGATATGGAGAGGAAATAGAACGAAGGACGAAGGATGAGAAAGTTCAGGTTACAATGTTCTGCATACTAGGGGTAATAGGCGTTCTGGGTCTTTTGCACGTGATGGATTGATGAAGTGGATCCAAGGCGTACAACAATTCATCATACTTTTGAGTAAATACGTATATCTAGTAGGAGAGACTTGGTTGTTCCAGTCATCCAAATACAGTGTATATACCACTACACAGACACACACACACATACTATCTATCCTCCGCATCTTACCCTACCAACAACATACATACCCCCACCCCGTTTCCCTCCTCCTCCTCCCCACATCCCTGCAATTCACCCATACAATCTCCATTATACCCCCAGGATACCCCCCCTATAACACTATCCCCAGTATACGCATCGGGAGTCAATGATAGTACCCGGCGCATAAGGACCACCAATGCAACCTCTCTAAACCGTTCTAAAACACGAGGGCTCGTTGCAATGTGGAATGTGCGAGGTGGAATGTGGAGAAATGTTATATTAAAAAACGGTAGTCGGGATGCGATATCGGTATGCAGGGTAGACGTGCATTGGGGCAGGGTGCAGATACGGGGGAGGAAGGACGGAGTGTTCGGGTGGTTAATCTGGGTAAAGAATGTAGGGCAGAAGCGGCGTGGGGGATAGGAAGGATTGGGGACCGGGCGGATGGATGGATGGATGGATGGCGACACTGTAGTCAATGAGTGAGAAGGGGCAGAGAAGAAGAAGTCATCACAGTCAAGTATGTAGGACAAGAAGTAACTTCATCACTATATTCAATCCCCACATCCGCCTCTACGTAACCCCAGTTCCGACTACTTCATCAGCCCCCAACAGACCTTGGGGCCAGAATATATATCTACAAGAAAACCCATTGCCCGTTGAACGCCATCCAGAACACAGGATCAAGGTACGCATGACCAACCATCGCGCAGTACCGAAAGAACAAAGGAAAAGCAAAAGAAGGCCTACTACTCGCTGATTGCGGCTGAAACCCAAGTCGCACACGTCGGAACAGCCGACTTGGATATATATGATCAAACAAAGGGAATCGTTACAATCATGTAGGACAGTCTATGAAAAACAGAAATCGCTGCAGTGTTTGAGAAGGAAAGATCAGAATGGGACAAATTGTAGAGTCATTGGCTATAAGTCAAACGACGATGTGATGTCGGCTAATCTTTGCATGGCGGGGCTCATGGCAGCAATCTTCCTCGCCAAACGCTCTGCTAGAAGTGCCTCGTTCGTTTCGTTTGAGATGACTAGCGAGTAGTGTGCAAAGGCCTTCTCGGAGTTGGCGAAGAGTGCCTCGTGGTCCTCAAGCGATGCGGCGGCAGTGGTTGAGGGAGCGGACGAAGAGTAGTATAGGTCGTACTCGGCATCTACCTCTTCGGTCTCATCGGCGGCAGCGGGAACGGTGGGCTCGGACTGGACAGGGCGCTCGACGATGGGGTAGTCAGCCTTGACCTCCTCGACAGTCGAGTCGTCCTCGGCGTTCAGGATAGCGCTGTATCCCTTGCCAGACATGGCCTCGATGTCGAGGGGGTTGGTAGGACCCTCAGGCAGCTCAGTGACGGCGAAAGCAACGGGTTGCTGGAAGTTGAAGCCATTGTTAGCACCCCAGTTGTTGCCATTGTTGGTGTTCAGGTTGAGCATAGCAAAGTCGAGTTGGGGCTCGGGGACCATGGTCATACCAACGTGGGTGTTCTCGGCCTGCGACATGCCGTTGAACTGCTGTTGTTGCTGGAACTGAGTGGGGGCAGGAGCAGCGGCGACGGGTGCTGCGGTTGATGGCATCGAAGTCATGGGGGCCTTGGCTTGGAGCGACTCGTCGCGAGAGAGCTCCTCGAGGAAGGGAGTGAAGGCCTGGTGGCGGAGCAGACGCTCGATGAAAGCGCGCGAGCGGGCGTTCTCCTCCATGAGGAGGCGGTTCTGGGAGCGGAGTTCGTTGGCCTCGTTGACCTTCATGGCAACCTCGCCTTCGAGCTGGCCAATGTATTCTGGTTGTGTTAGTTGATGTTGCACATGTAGTGGGGTCGTGGTAGCTTACCCTTCCTTCTCGAGCGGAAAGCGCGAGCGGAGACCTTGTTACGGAGCTGGCGGCGCTCCTTGGAGCTGAGCTTCTTGCCCTCCTCAGACGCAAGCAGCCTCTCGTCCTCGTCCATATCCTCTTCGTCCTTCTTTGCGCGGATGATGTGGGGGAGAAGGCCTTGGTTGTCGTTGGCCATGTTGGCAGACGCGTTCTGGCTGTCGGCCCGGATCTGTGCGACGACGCGGGTGATCATCTCCTCGGTGTGGGCGTCGCTGAGCGGGCTCGAGGTCTTGCGGCTGGCCGAGCTGGTGGAGGCCATGCGGTTCTGTTGCTGTTGTTGCGCTTGCTGCTGCTGCTGTTGTTGTTGCTGTTGCTGTTGCTGGAGGGCCTGCTGTTGCTTCTGGTGGGCCAACTGCTGTGCGCGCTGCTGCTGGGCCTGCGCCTGCGCCTTGGCCATGGCAGCCTGCTGTTGATGCATACCGGGCCAGACCCTGACGTTGGTGACCTCCTCTTGTGTGATGGCGCTGGGGTCGACGAAGTCGTCTTGGGCGGCCTCGTTGAAGACGAAGCTGTTCTGGCGGTAGTCGACGGCCATGTTCATGCCGACGTCCATGGGCAGGCCGTTGTTCCAGGCGCCGTCCATCATGGAGTCGCCGCCCATCATGGCCATCTCGTCCAAGCCAGTGGACGAGAACATGGGGAAGCCCGTGTTGTAGCCGGCGTTAAGGCCGGGAAGGGAGTTGGTAGGCAGGCCGGTTTGCTGCTTGAAGCGCTCGTACTCGTGGCTGGGCTTTGCGGGGGTCTGGAGGTCGTCGTCGATGTTTGTGCTGGTGGGACTGGCCATGGTCGACGTCGCACTGGACTCCCGCTTCAGAGTGGCAGGCTGCGTGGGCGAGGGCATCTGGCCAAAGTCGAAGAACTCATTGGGGTCGACGCATTGGTTCGGGTGGCCGTTGAAGGGGGCCATGGTCATGGCAGGCTGGACGGCGGTAGCCATGTCGCTATTGTTTGTTCGACTGCTGGGGAGTCGCTGATCGTGTTTGAGCGGTCCTTAGGCAGGCAAGCGGCAGTCTTGGGGTGTTGTGTTGCGGGCACTGGGTGCGTGACAGGAGCGGTTAGCCTGCTGGAAAGTCGTCGTCAGCTCGACGCTGGGCCGGTTCTGCCGGAAGTGTGGCTGTGCCGATGGATCCGCGCCTCCTGCGAGCACGTTTGTTGCGATAGAGCGAGTGTGTTGGTGGTGAGAAGATTGTTGTTGCTGGTGTTGATGCAGAGTGCAATTGTCGGATGAGAGTCTGGTGGGAGAGAGGCAGAGCGAGGGCGAGGATGGGCGACGGCGGCTTCTTTGCTGGGGCCCTCGCCCTTGCCGTTTCAGACTGAGGCGGAGTCCCCCTTCTCGAAATAGAAGGAAGCAGGCCCAACCCGGTTGGCTCGCTCGCCCGCCGATCACTGCCCTCCGCCCAGCAAACTTCGGCTCTTCCTCTCTCCTGAGCGCCGGGTCATCTCGTCGGCTTCACCATTCTTAGTACACTAGACACAATATCAGCATAATGCTAATCCTCGGGTCTCTGCTGCCCCTCCGCGGTGCTTCCACGGCACCAGCCTCTGACGTCACGTCACGGCTGTCATTCTCAGCAACAATCAACCCGAGTCCTTCAACAACATCCAAGGCCATGGCACCCAGCTGGCGAGTCTCCGTATACTCTCGTGCAGCTAGGCATACGCACTTGATGCACTGTCGGCGCATACTCGCCGAGCCCGAAAGTTGGACAGGCGAATCACCGCCTGCCCTGCTGCACCACCACTGAGGCTGTGCTGTCATACTGCACCCTTTTGGCCACGCTTGCGAACCCCGCTGCTATTCGTCCACTCAGGCCTCTTTTCTCGCTCCTGCGCGAATAACTTCCATGCCGTGCACATACACATAATCTTAATTATTGTTACGTTGCTGTATTAATAGATTATATCTTATTTTAATCTTAATATTTTCCTATTTAATGTTTATTAAAAAGCTCTAGTTATAATAACTTAGTATAGTTATAATTCTAATATTAAGGTCTGTATATACTATAGTATATATACTAGATCTAAAAATTTTAGTATTTTATAAGTAGAACGCTACTTAGTTTATTAGCAAACTAATAATTCTATAGTAAGCTAGTTTAAAAAGAGTAAGGTCTATTACTAGTATATAAAAAAACGTATTTCTAAAAGAGTTAAAATTCTATATTTAGAGGTATAGGCGTTAGGCAGGCTAAGACTTAGGTTCTTAGCGCTACTACCTCTAGCGTAGTAGTTAAAGCTTTTAAAATTTAGAGTAGTAAGGTAACTATTTTATAAATACTAATGTCTACTTATACTATAGTAGAGAGAATTATAATATAATTATATATTCTTAATAGCTTATAACTAACTAAGCTATAGATTATAAAGTAATAAAATACTAAAATTTTTAGCTAGCAAAATTGTGCTTCTACTATATATATACTCTCTATTCTCTATCTTTATCTCTATCTCTATTTTTATTTTATAGCTTATAGTAAATTAGAGATCTAAAAACTTATTAAAGTAAATAGTAGCTTAAATCTAACTCTAAAGCTATACTAGTACACTAAATAAGCTCTTAACTACGTTCTCTATACCTTATACCTTTTTATAAGTTCTTTTAGCGTTAGTAAGTCTAAAGCTAATCTTATTACTAGTTATATTACTTTACTTACTAAAGCTTAATTAAGCTTTTTTATTATTACTATATTAATTACTTTTCTTTTAAACGCGTTACTATTGCTTTATAAGTCTTCTTAAGATTATTATTCTAGAAGCTATTATAGAGACTATTATAAACTACCTTATTTATACTATACTAGAGGCTATTATAAGCGCTTTAAAAGGCTACTTTACTAGTATAGAGCTATATACTAGGCCTATTAATATTTCTATTATACCTATCTTTATTATACTTATTTCTTTTACCTCTATTTCTATTATTTCTATTACGTACATAACTAGCGTAAAATCTTTTATTATTTTTTTTTTTAGCTTTACTTTTAAAGAGCTTATTAGTAAGATATATAAGCTTTTTAGTAGATATAGCCTACCTTTAAAGTAATAGAAAAAGTATTCTATTTATAATCTTACTAAAATATACTTAATTACCTATACTATTTATATCTATAACTAAGTATATAAAGTAAGATTAATATTAAGTCTATAGCTCTTTTTAGCTCTTAAGAATACTATACTTTAGTAAAAGAACGCTTTAGCTAAGATACTTTATAAAAGTAATAAAAGCTAAGATAATAAGAATATAGTATTTATAGCTTATCTTATATAGTAAAATACTATTTATTAGATAGTAGCTATAGTAAACTACTATAAGTTCTATTAAGACCTAGAGAAATAGTTATTATATTATAGTTATTAGAGAATGCGTACTATAAAGCTATTATAGTATTTCTATTACTACTATATTATATAGTTCTTAATTACTGCCTAAGCTTCTAGAAGTGTATAAATATATATAGTTATAGTTAAGTATTAGTGCTAATAGTAATATACACTAAATATCTTAAAATCTTAAAATCTCTTAGCTATTCTAAGATAACCTAGAAGCTAGGCGTTTTTTAATATCTTTTTACTAAATAGAGTCTGCAAAATTAGGCACAAGGCACTAAACGCTACTTAGTAATAGGTATAATAAAATTAGAGCTTCTACTTAGCTAGAAACCTTTATTAACACATAAAAATAAATATATTCTTCTGCGACCCGCGCCTATCCCTACAGAACGAGGACACGGCTCCTTTCTAGACATATTCAACGCCTACTCGGGCCCCATGCCGTGCAGCCATTGAGCCACAATCTACCGGCTTGGTGGCGCGGGCGCCCAGTTCGGTTGCATGCCGACCAGCAGCAGAGCAAGTGCAAACGAGCCTGAGTCTAGATGCCAACTCTAGACCTCAGCATCTTACTATGCAACGCCTGCACATGACAAAGCCTTCGTATACGTACGTCTGGCGCAGCACTTGCTCACATTCCGCAACACCATCACTCATCAAGGCCATCTGGCGTCTACGCCGACGGTCAGCGTGAACGCCTCTTCGGACAACCTGCCGCGCCCTGTGCAGCGACAAGTCCACATTCACATCTACCGCATTATGCCAGCTTTGCGAGCTCACCTGTCAAGTCTGTCAGCGCCAGCCGCAAATTCTGATCTACATGGTCCCGTCCTCTGAGCGGAGTCGGTCTTTAGTCCGGCAATCTCCGTCCCAGTGCCATGGAGTGACTTGACCCGACCAGCTTCCCCGATTCCACTGGCCATGAGACCTTTGAATCTTGAAACACTCGTCTTGAGTCAACAACGACTTAAGACGTCACAGCTGTCACTGCTTCATGCCCGCGCGGGTCCTGCCGCCCAATCAAAACCAGCTCATCCCTCCAGCGTAGCCAGCAACCCATGCTAAGATGAGGATAAGCCCTACCTATCAGATCTGCATCGCAGGTACAGGCAAAGTCAGTTTACACGATACCGATTATCGGCCAACCTCATGGAAACTCGTGGGAACGTTTACTGCGCCATTCTCCAGCAGCTGCACAATTTTCGCACTGGAGCAAGGCTGAGCATGGGACGCGTCATCAGTACGCAGAGGAAATTTCCAACCTCAAATTGAGAGACACAACCGCAAGTGATGCAGCTGGAGACTTGGTGACAGTACTACACGCGGGCTTACACCGGTCTCTACAACAAGGCCATGCCTACACGTCTTTGTCATGCGTAGCATTGGCAGGCTGACAATCACTTGGCCGGCCTTATACACTTACCATAGACTTACTACAGCCATCGAACTTCAGAAGCATCCAACTGCAGACTTGAAAGATCGTCCCTGCCGACACATTTCTGTGTACTATCTTTGGCGCTCTCAGTACCCCTCTCCAAAGGCCGCGTACACAGAGACACACATTCTTGCATCCAGAACCTCCTAATCACTCAATGTCATGATCCAGAAGCCGCAGCAATCTAGTCGCACGTTCTATTCCCTATACCCAGCGAACCGCAAGCCGCCCGTCCGCCCCGGCCGCTGCGCACCAGCGTCGGAGTCAAACAGACCATCATGCCATTATCCACAACCGCTCACTTCCGTCTCAGCCCGTCTCTCCCAGCGACCCTGACGCATAAACCACGGAAAGACATTGGGCGACCGCTAATCGGCCCGCCTCAGACCGTAAAAAGGGGTCTAGTGTCCAGAACCCTCAGACCCTGACCCATCATCTGGCTGAACTCTTACCCATGGAGCCACAGAACACACACGCTGCTGTTTCACGGTCTTCGACCCCGAAATCCAGTCATGCCACATTCACTTTCCCATCACTGGAAGCGCTGCTACTCCCTACTACATGTGAAATGTGAAAGGCCTTGAGACGGCTTTGACGCGACGCGCGTCTCGTGTCGTCTTTGAACTGGCGGTCGATGCTCTTGCCGTGCCGTGGGTTTTGACAACTCACAGCTCCGTGCAAGCCTCACTTGGGTTTCCCCATGATTGCTGGTCTTGGGTGAGCTTGTTGCACTCTACGCGTTTCAGGGACAGACGATGTGGGAGCTGGGCTGGGCTGGAGGCGAGCGTCGTGAGGATATGGAGTAATGCGTTTCGCATAAGGTGCTATCGTGAACAGTGATAGCTATCTACTATGAGGGGCCTCACTTGTAAACCTAATCGCTCTCTTGAATCATGCGAGTCTGGGGGTTTTGGATTAGCTTGGACTGTGGACTGGTACAGTAGGCGTAGTCGCCAAACGATGCCATGAGTGGCGAATGGCTGGAGTCAATTCAACGACGTAGTGTATAGCAAGCTGTAGTTCGTGTTCTTCAGAGAACATATTGGTGCCGGGTCATTACCACCTCGACCAAAAGAGAAGAGGATAATTGTCGGCAAAGTGTCATTGATACATCATTATACATATCATCCGAGGCTTTCTATATCCTCTTCTCACCCTGCTCAGGCTCA